TGCATTGAATTTATTTAATACACGAGTTTCACAATTTGAGTTGAATTACTGAAATAAATGAACTTTTCCATGACATTTTAATTTATTGAGATGCACCTGTAGTATCATCTGCAAATTTGCACTGATTTACCATGTGAAACACAACCATTAGTGTATACAGAGTACAATAATGGTGACAGTACACATCCTTGTGAGGCCCCCACACTAATTGTTTTGAGACTTGAAAGTATATTATTCATTTTAACTACTTGTGTTCTGAGAATCCAGACAGATTTTAGAAGTTAGATACCTAAGCACCAATCGCTCAAAAATTTTCATAGCAACTGAAGTTAGGGCCACTGGTCTGTAATCATCTAAGCAACTAATATTCTACTTTTTTGGCACTGGAATTATAACAGCTGCTTTAAAACATACTGGGACTCTGCATACTCTTGGCCGATAGTGATCGGTAGCCGATCAATCGGAGCACCCCTAGTTAGGACTAACAGCCTTATCAGTGGATAAAAGTATCTTTATTGAATATTTTGTAAAATAAAGAAATATAAAATACTTTCATTTTTTATTAAATATGCACTACTGTTAAAAGGTTTTGATTCAGTTAGATTTTTTTTTAAGGTAACTTTCATTCAGCAGACATGCATTAAATTGATCTAAAGTGACAGTAAAGACTTAAAATACATTGCTTTTATATTGTTTCCTTTTACATAATTTCCACAAAAATATTGGGCATCACATCTGTTGATTTACATTTATACATTATAACATTTATAATAATAAGAAATTTTTCTTTAGCACCAAAGCACGTCTTCTGCATATTACAATGATTTCTGAAGGATCATGTGACACTGAAGACTGGAGAAATGGCTGCTGAAAATTCAGCTTTTCCATCACAGGAATAAATGAGCCTACTCTTTAAAATATATTAAAATAGAAAACTTTTATTTTAAATTGTAATAATATTTCACATGGTATTGTTGTATTTACTGAACCTTTATTCAAAAACATAAAAAAAATCTTACATACCCCAAACTTTTAAACAGCACTGTAGATAATAAGAAATTGAAACTAATTTGAATGAATCCACTGTCTGCGTTTCTTTGAGTGCCCACGTTTTAAAGAGACTAGAAATCAAAATATGGCAATGGCATGCATATCATTCTTAGAATGCCTGAAATCCTGTTTTGATCTTACATGTGCATTTGTCTGTGATATTTTCTAGGGCTGTCGCGATTCTTCGATTTTATTTGACTATTCGATTTTTACAAATCCTTGACTTCATTTTGCTCACGTCGACAACCCGGCAAAATACGTATTGTGTGTGTGTGTACGTATACATTCTCGTCTGTGAAATAGTGGCATATTTCACAGATGAGAATGTATAAAAAAACCTTGGTCTGTTTTCCAAGGCTGCATGATATATTAGACCCATTTAAAAATAATGAAGCATCATTGTAAATTCACAAACGCTACGATTTTATTAAATAATTATGTGCGATGCAGTTCTAATACAATATATGCGCTTTAATTATTTACATGCGTGTACAGGGCCGCGTTTACGCATAGGCATTCTAGGCACGTGCCTATGCTTGCTCGTCCAGGGGAGGCCCAAACACAATGAAGAGAGATAATATTTTTGTTATACTATGGGATATCTACAGCAGTAAAAGAACCAAAACCCCAGAAGACATTGAGCAAATAAATGTAACAAATAGGGTAAAATTGACAACCTATTTCCATGTCTTCAACCTTTTTTATGTATGGAAATCATGCTTTCTTTCTCCCGTTCTCTCTCACATACGCACACACATAGACACGTACTCGTGCACACATGCGGAGACTCGGACAGAAACTTGTCATCAGCGCTGCGGCTGTCCCGCGAATTTATCAATAACAGCGTTTCGCAGCTGAAAAGCTACAAGACATTTCTCAGTAGCGAGGTTCTTGAAGTAGTTCAAAGATTCGCTATTAGTTGACGCTGCTGCTGAATACTGAGACGCACAGACGCAAGTATTCACACGCACTTAATCTCTCTCACTCTCTTTCGCTCTCTCTCTCTAATAACTGCGTTAGCCTGCATATCAATGGCTCAAGCCTCTGTTATTAGCTTTTAAAATGACGTTTTGGAATTTGCAACGGAAGGTTTGGGATGGGGTGCGTAAAAAATAGCTAGTGTGATTGTGACTCCAGGCCGTTAAAATTATTAGAGAAATAATGCACTCCCGAAGTGGTTATGTGACCATGTCGCCGTGCCTATTAATGGAATGAAATACAATTTGTTTGAATTCTCAAACAAATTAAGAACCTACATTAGATTTTTATTGACTGAAGGCAAGCGCTTATTGCGATAGAAAACACTGTAACGGTTTCCACTGATTTAAGAAATATTTTTGTTTGCTTGGGTGGTAATATTAGGCCTGTTATATTAATAGGGAAGGGGGGCCCAAAAATTTGTTTTGCCTATGTCACGAAAAGAGGTAAATCCGGCCCTGTGCGTGTAGGTTAAGTACATGCGTCACACAGCGGCTCCGTTCACAGTTGTTCCACAGGAACTGTTCATTTCTGTCCTAAGGAAATGGCCAAATATTAAAGATTAAGGGGACATTTGAATGTGTACACAGTAATGTGTAAAAACAATCGTCAGGCTTTTGGCGCACTCTGCAGGCCTTTGTTGTAATGCATAATGTACATTAGCTCTATTGTTTATAATACAATATGTATTTTAACAATTTTGTTCAATAAAACCATATGATTTCTTGCTTTTGATTCTTTATTAACTAATTATTATTGCCTCATTGCTATTATATATGTATTTTAAGTCATTTTAAAGGATATTGTTCACTTACATCTATTTTTATTACCACAAAATTTTTTTATTATAATTATAGGGCCCTATGAAATCCGTTTTATTTCAAAATTCAGTTTTTTTTCCATTCTCATTTTTCTATACTCTGTTTTAATGGTTAAATTAAATTTTATTTATCAAAAAGCCTGTCTAATTAATTGAGTTTTACAGTTTTATCTTTACCAAATTCTGTTTTCCATTATTTTCTGGATTCCATTCATTTTTAATAATCAAAAGCATTCCCAATTAATTGATTTTATAAAAAAAGAAAAATAGTAATTCAGAAATACTACACATTTACATTTTTCTCCTAAATAAATTCTGTAAATACTCCTTTAAAAAGTGTTTTTTGATTATAATTTTATTATTAGTAGACTAGAACATGTGGATATGTTGTCATTCTTGCACATTCTTTTTTGTGTGGGTAATTAATCGGTTAGATTAATCGATAAATTAGTCGATAGATTAATCGAAATAAAAATAGTCGTTAGTGGCAGCCCCAATATTTTCCAATACACAATTGAGGCTATTGATGTCAAAACAAACTTCTGCAGGCCATGAGCTGTTCCTCATGGGAGCCAAATCAGTTCTGCTAGGTCACATTAGTTAACAGTCTCAGACTGAAGTGCCTGAGTCATGTGACTAAACTTGTTGTTCAGAAAGGCCATTCATAAACGTGTACGGTGAAATGTGAGAACTGAAGTGTAAACATGAGTCATCACCACAGCACTGGAAGTAAATCTGTTTATATAGGATTTTCAATAGCATAATGTTGATTGTGATTAGCTTATTGTTTTATGGAACTGATTCGAAATGGTAAAATTGATGAGACAGAACATGTTCATACAAGACTGTTAAATACCTTTATATTCAGTCTTTCTAATCTCTGGGGCGTTGTTTCATTTTGTGTACTCGTCTGAAATTACATTGCCATCATGCCGTTTTTATGAGTTGTTACTAGAGTTTCTAGGCACACAAAAATAGCATAAATAGTTGGAAATCTCTAGGTGGAGCCAAGCAGTATTGTTTGAAACGTCAGCTGAAAATCTCTGTGATGTGCTTGAGAGGTACTAGTGAGTAATGTAAGGCGTGAGCTTCCATCTGAGCACTCAGTAAAAGACACACTGCGTATTAAAGCCCTTTAACGATTTGTGACCGTGTTACCCAGTGCTTTGAACTCTGAAGCATCAAAAAAGAGGCGTCATGATGTGCTCAGGTTCACAGTTTTCAGTGTTGACCCTGTGGAGGTTTTACATAAAATGTCATTACAAATCATCATGAAATGGAAGAAAGACTGATTCTGTGTGTAATTAGATTCATGAAGTTCGAATCAGGGTAACCCAGGTTAGTCTAAAAGTACACTACAGTTCAAAAGTTTGAGATTGGTAAGAATTGTTTTTGAAGTATCTTATGATGTCTAGAGCTGCATTTATTTGATAAAAAATAGTTAAACAGTATTATTATGAAATAATTGTACTATTTCAATTAACAGTTTTAATTTAATCCATTTTAATTATGTAATTTTAGTGTTACATGATCCTTCAGAAATCTTTCTAATATGCTGATTTGATGTTCAAGTAACATTTCTTATTACTTTTGAAAACAGTTGTGCTGATTACTATTTTTGTGGAAACCTTGATACATTTTTTAGGATTCTTTGATGAATAGAAATTTTTAGAGGAGCAGCACTTATACGAAATAGTAATCTTGTGTAACATCTTTACGGTCTTGGTTCTGTAATAACTAATGTTTCCTGCAGTAGAAAGTACCATCACTCCTGTGCTATTGGTCCTTTGAGATCAGTATCCCTTAATAATCTGAAGCAGTCTAATGGCATAACACTTCAACACTATCATTTGAAATCCACATGAGAAAATACAGACTCGATGAGGCGAGGCCATCACGGTGCAGTTGCTTTAACAGTGATGGACTGCCATGTGCTCCGCTCTGTATATAGATGAATGACTTATTGCTTATATTCTGCACCTTTGAGGTTTGAATAAGTGGTAAACGTGAACTACAATGTTCCCCGTGTTCCCCTGCAGGCCCAGCAGATGTTGTATGCATGTATGGAGAAGGTGGATGTTTCCAACATAGAGGGCTACGATCTCTTTCTCACCCAGCTCAAAGAAGGCCTGGAGAATACCTCACATGAGACGGCGGCCAATCACAAAGTGGCAAAGGTGAGTCTAACAGGAAGGTGGATGCATCATTCATAAGTCATCTCACTGTTCTAATCATTATAATGTTTTTGTAACCACAGAGAATAATAATATCTTACAATTGCGATTGTATTTATTTTTTTAACATGTCTAATAATTTGACGTTATAGCTCACAAATGTGACTTTATAGCACACAATTAAAACTGTATCTCACAATGCACCTTCAGTTATGTCTTTAAAGCTACAACTGTAATTTTATTTCTCTGAATTTATTTATATCTTCGGGGCATCATATTTAGCAATTTTATACATTTGGGATATCATTTTACAATTAAGTCTTACAGGTGCATCTCAATAAATTAGAATGTCATGGAAAAGTTCATTTATTTCAGTAATTCAACTCAAATTATGAAACTCGTGTATTAAATAAATTCAGTGCACACAGACTGAAGTAGTTTAAGTCTTTGGTTCTTTTAATTGTGATGATTTTGGCTCACATTTAACAAAAAAATATATGCACCTGTATATATTTCACAATTGCATTTTTTTGTGAGAAGATATTTCACAAATACAACTTCATATCTTAATTAATTGTTGCTTAATTTCTGGCAATTGTGACGTTATTTCCTAATTAGAGCTTCATTGCTCAGAAACAGACTTCCATAGAAAACATATTCTGTCCTATCAAGAATTTTTCAAATGTATTCATATTCTTAAAGTGTTCTTCAGGCACAGGACTGGTTCTCTCTTTGACACGAACACACACGCTTGTAGTATTGGCCATCCATTCATTATTGTGCAGTGCTGGGATTTTTTTTTTCATGTTCAGTGCTGCAGAGCTTCTGGCAAGCTTCTTTTCCTTTCTTGAATTTGTGGGTCCCATAAAGTCGGATTAAAACCTTGTGGCACAGTGTGTGTGGTGCATGTTTGCTGATGTAATGCAATCTGACTGTGTGTGTGTGTGTGTGTGTGTTTGTTAATAAGCAAGAATAGTTGAGTCATGTAGCGTTACAAAGTATTGATTATTCATGAGACATATCCTCACAGTGACTGATCTGTGCAGACACACACAGGCTGTATTGAACAGCGGTGCGGCAGAGCTCTGAGGTGTATCAGTAGCCCTGCAGTAACAGGAGGATGATCTAAGACTCCCACTAATGCACCTGTGCCAGTGAAATCTGTCAGAGCTGAGGTCCATCTTAAGACTCCCTCTGTCTTTGTGCATACCGTCACGACTGCTACTGTAAGAATGCAAAGTGAAGAGCAGAGAGAAATACTCAGTTTAAAGAGTAACACATGATTAGATGTGACAGGATTCTCTGCAGCACAAATTTACTAAACGGATTGCTTCAATTTTTTCCCTCTCAAGTGCCATTTTGTTCCCCTTCAAGAGCAATTTTTAGTTTCAAAGTGTTCTTTTGGTATAATAATTGGCAGAATAGTTTTACATAAATTGAATTAAAAAATTAAAAAATAAATAGAAATATTGTGCCAGTAATAATAAAAAACAATAGCAATAAACAGTATACAACAAATATAAAAATAATTGCAAATTAAAAAAATAAACCACAAAATAAAGCATAAAGTAAAATGCAATAAAAAAATCTATTGTTTGTAAAATTAAATTAACTATTTAAAAATAAGTAAAAATAATGTGCTAGTAATAATACAATAACAATACCAATTTAAGCTCTCATTGCTGCAGTCTCTACCAGATGCAAGCACGTGGACAGAGAGCAGAGATTTCTTTAGTCTTTTGTGTATAGTACGTACAGATTGCATCTGTGTAATGAGAAAACAAGAGCATCGGTTATCACACCGGGAGTCTTCGGCTCCTTTATTTACATGGTGCGTTTACAAGGACCTCTCATAAATGCTGATCTAGGATCTGTTTTCTGTACATGAGTCATATTCATCTAGATTGGAGGAACAAAACTGATCCTAGATCAGCACTCTCTTTGTGAGTCTCTAAATAAATGGGCCTCTGCAGTTAATAATGATGGCATGTTTCTCCCCTGCATCCTCCAAGCTATCAGCATATTACTGCAGTCCTGTTAATCAGTTTCACAGTGGACCACGGCATCAGTCCCATGTGGTTAAAAAAAATGAAAGTAAGTGCAGTGTTCCCTTGTGTAGTCATCCAGGCACCCTTTTTTCCATAATTTGGCAGACAACCAGATTGCACTGCTGTAACAATGAGTGTCAGCTACGGTGATTGATTTCTCACTCAGCTCTCCATTGACCCCTGTCAGGCCACTGCACCGGGTTCTGGAACTTTCCTGGCTCTTTGAAAGAGCACAGATTGTGTATCAGGTTATTTCATGTTTGAACATTGGAGGCTTTTCTAAATGAGAGGGAAAGTTCAAATAAGCCAGGATTGTTGTGAACAAGCTTGTTTAGACTTGTTCAGACATTTCAGTTTAAAAAATATTGAAACACTTGGCCTGAAATGAGGCAGCTGAACTTAGAAAATCGTCAAGTATTTGCAGCTCTTACAAGCTCTTAAAAAAGATGTAGGCCTATTATTAACACCATCTTGCATGCCTTCCTGCTGTGAATGCTGTTGAAATTTAATGTTACCCTACATCTTTCTCACTTTCCAGTGGGCAACCGTGACCTTCCATCTCCCTCATCACGTGCTAAAGGTGGTAACGAGTGCCATCGTGAATGAGTTGAAAAAGTTGAATCAAAATGTTGCAGCCCTGACGGTCGCCTCTTCGGTCATGGACAGACTCTCCTACCTCTTACCAAGTGGCAGGCCAGAGCTTGGTGTTGGACCCGGGCGCTCTGTAGACAGGTAACTACACAAGACAGGGCACTTCAGTGTTTGTTGAATTATTTGTGATAGCTTAACAGCATTCAGAATTGTAAATTATACCTCAAATAGTGCAGCTTGAGAATTGTGCCATTACTTTTCCATTTCCATTTTCCATTTGCGGACAGTAGGTGAAAAAATTCAAGACTTTTATGTTGATGAATGGACCCAAGTCATATCTGTAAACCAGTACATGATTGAGATTTGGAGGATAGGGTAATTTGGCTGTGTCCATTATGGAAAAACTGTTAAAAACACCCAGCACACCTTACGTAACCACACTAAAACACACTGAAAAACACCCAGAACACCTTATATTTATGGTGGCAGCATGTGCAAGCACCGCTCAGATTTTCTACAGAAAGTGTAAAAAACTAGTTTAAATTATAGTGAATTTGAGGATGTAGACTGATTTGAAGTACTGTTTGTGCCTCTTTACCACCAAAGATTGTTTGACTTAAGAGTGTATGTGTGATATTTGCAGGTCTTTGATGTACAGTGAAGCTAACAGGAGAGAGACGTTCACATCCTGGCCTCATACTGGCTACAGGTGGGCTCAGCCTGATCCCATGTCCCAGGCAGGCTTTTATCACCAGGTTTGTGTCATCACCATGTCAATGATTCTTTCCAAATTGACTGCCACCTTTAAACTTTGCCCTGGCTTTCTCTGCTAAGGTCCTCTTCGCTTTGATTTTCATGGGTTATTTGTTTTTGTTTTTTTCACTGTTTGAATGATTCCTCTTGATGGCCACTGACTTATTGTGAAAGCCTGTTTGTATCACTATTGAAAGTGATATCATTTTGAACACGGACATAAACTGGATCAACAAGAATGAATTTTTTTTTTCTAATCGTTCAGGCCATAAAAACAACAGAAATAAATCCATAATTAAAACGTATGAATGTTTCACTTTTAGTTTTATTATAATATTAGGGAATTCCCGATGATGCTCTGGTACATGATGTATTGTCTCTACTTGAGTCACCATGCATGCCAAGGAGGGTTGAGCTGCTCTGGTAACCAAGGAGACCACACTACTCCTCTTACCCATGTTCCCTGTTGTCATGCCAACCGAACAGAGGAAGGGAGAACAGTGCCTCTGTGTTGTGGATGAAAGGGTGATGCCACAGCAAAGGGACATTCTGCGAAACGGGAAAACATGATTAATTATGAACTGAAATATATTTTAAGGTTTGCCCTGACCGTCTAGGTGGACTTTAATCTTTTTAAACTGTTATACCAGATGTATTGGCTTAAGTTAAGGAGTCTTTCATGTAAAGACTTGTGCTAATGTAACATGCTGAAGAGCAGATCAAATTTGGTTCCCGCATACAGAAATTTGAAAGTGCTTATCGGAGCATTCATTCGAGTCATTCTTTGACTTTTGCTTCTGGGTATTGCATTTATAGTGTGCTATAATGTGTCGTCTTTGTTTTCTTGTATCAGGTCTTTGAACATCTCTTTGCACTGTGGATGGTGCTAACAGCTCTGTCTTCTTCCTTCTAGCCTGCATCCACAGGTGATGACCGGGCCATGTGCTTCACCTGCAGCGTGTGTTTAGTGTGCTGGGAACCTACAGATGAGCCCTGGTGAGAAGCACCCCACTAAAACACGGCTGCAATGTCTCACTCACTCTCACATGAACCATAAAGAAGGCCTTCCTATTGCTATTAACCATTCCGATAAAACATCTGATACTTTTTTAGGTCTGAGCATGAGCGCCACTCGCCCAACTGTCCGTTCGTAAAAGGGGAGCACACCCAAAACGTTCCGCTATCCGTCACCTTGGCCACCAGCCCAGCCCAGTTTCCTAGTGCAGATGGTTCAGATAAAATCGTGTGCTATGGGTTTGGTAGCTGCCCTCATTTCCTTGCTACGGCAACCAAAAGGGGGAAGATTTGCATCTGGGATGTTTCGAAGCTTATGAAGGTTTGTTGTTCATCACTGTTTATCACTGTCTCTAAAGTGGATGAGAAAGACACAGTACACCTAAATCTCTGTGCTCTGTATCAACATTTTTCTCACCTGTGCAGGTGCATTTAAAGTTTGAGGTGAACCCATATGACCCAGCCATCTTGAGGCAGCTGATCCTGTCCGGCAGTGAGCAGCAGAGTCTCACAGGCACAGAATCACGAAGGCCCACACTCTCCTGGCTAGAGGAGGCCACCTGCTGCTCTGACTTACCCAAACTAGAGGGGGACAGGTTCTAAACCTACTTATACACACTTGTGGCAAATTATTTTAAGATGTCTTCCTCTGTTATTGTGTTTATTGAACATTTCCTGTGTTTTTGTTCCTAGTGATGACCAGATAGAGGACTCGGACAGCGAAGAGCATTCCAGATCAGAGTCGGTCACAGGTAAAAAGTAGAAAATTGATTTTCATGTATTAATAAAGTTTATTCAACACTTAATTTTCATATCTGCACTCACGCACTATTTATCGTTCTCCTGCTTTCCATATGTGTAGGCCCACTGGGTCAGAAAGAGACAATGGAGGTGAGTTTGGGAGTCACGGCTCTCAGTGTCCTACAGCAGCCTGAGAAGTTGCAGTGGGAGGTGGTGGCCAGTGTGCTGGAGGACACAGTTAAAGACCTGGAGGAGCTTGGGGCCAACCCCCCGCACTCACTGGGCCCCCCAAAAGCCGACAAGGCTAAGGAGAGGCCAGCCGAGCACCACAACATTCCCTTCCCCTGCCTGCTGGCCGGCGGACTGCTAAGTTACAGGTCAGCAGATAGTTCTCCACTAGGTCCCCCTCCGTCTCGACGCTCCATGGATAGCCCAGTAAGGACTGCTGCCCCTGAGGGGCTTGCTCCGGACCAGGGTCCCATGGAGATCGGGTCCTGTAATCTCCCCACAGACCTGGGCTCCCCAAACCTACCACCAGCCACCCCTGTGCATAGGACTATGCCTGTACTACTCCTGTACAGCATCAAGGAAGCAGATGAGAAGTCTTCAGGGAAGGTGTTCACCCAGATGAACAACCTGATGAGCAAAGGGCTTCACGAGGAGGGCTTCACTGTCCCGCAGATTATCGAGATGGAGTTTGACTCGCATGAGCAGCTGCTGCTGCAGGACCCTCCCATCACATATATCCAGCAGTTTGCGGATGCAGCAGCTGGGCTCGGACCTCTGGATGGGGAAAAGTGGAGCTCTCTGGCTCCACGGCCGGGCTCTCTGGTGCAGTGCTTGCGGTTGCCAAAAGTATTGGAGGAAGAGAACCTGTACGTTGACTCCATCACGCCCTGCAGCGATGGATTACACTTGTTAGTTGGTCTTCAACCGTGCTCCGTAGAGTCCCTTAGCGCTATCAATCAAGTGGAGGTGTTAAACACACTTAACCGTCTGCATTCGGCCCTCTGTGGCCATCGCAAAGGACAGACACTGGCCAATGGCCATGACGCCCACTCGGGCACCTCTCCTCCACAGACCCCTCTCATCCTGCCCCCTCATGACCAGCAGCAGCCCCATACTTACAGACCTCTAGGGGCCAGTGGTGGTGGCGGATACCTTGCACTCTACAAGTTGAATTACTCCACCCGCATTGTGACCCTGGAGGAAGAACCAGTGAAGGTGCAGCAGATTCGTGACACACGGGATGCTGTCACGTCTCTCCTCCTCCTGCCACCAGATGTGCTGGATGGCAGAGAGGATGATGGAGAGGAAATGTCTGAGGAGTCGACACCTTCAGGGCTCAAAAATGGCACGGGGATGGTTGCATCTGCAGTGACAGCTGGCCCAAGCATGGGAACTGCCGCTGGGAAGGAGAAGAGAGGAGAGGTGGCCGGACTTGGACACCTGGTGGTGACTACACAGGCGGGTTACATCATGATTCTAGACTTGTCCACCCTAGAGGTGCTGGCCAAGGTGGAGCCACCCAAGAAAGAGGGGACAGAGGAGGTGGACCCCTTCGTCTCTGTTACCTACTGCTCAGGCACTGACCGGCTGTGTGCCTGCACAAAAGGTAAGCAAGTTATTGACATATTTATTTGCGATTCAACTGTTATTACTGGCTTCTTCATGTGTTGTTCACTAACAAGGAGATGTGAGGCGTGGAAGTTCACTGTTTCTTTCAGTTTAGTTTGCTGCCCACACATACCTCATCGCTATGGTAACCAGTAAGGTTCTCATTAACCATAGTGAGCTCAACCGACCGCTGTGTCGCTTGCATCCATGAGAAGTGACCTTGGGGAGTCAAGGATTGCCACTACTGGTTTTATGATTTGTATTGCCCTTTTTACTGGCTGAATTAAACAAAATTAAGCACAGTAGTAAAGTGCATGAATCTGTTGCTGTGGTCTATTGATGCCAGCTTTGCTATTGTGTGTTTTTGAGAATGCATTTTAAATATAATTTAATCATGTGATGGTAAAGCTGAATTTTCAGTAGTCATTACTCTAGACTTCAGTGTCACATGATGCTTCATAAATCATTCTAATATGCTGATTTGCTGCTCAAGAAAAAATTCTTATCACATCTGTGCATTTATTAGAAAAAGGGAGAATAGGGGAATTCCACCCCTGCCTTTCACTGTCGTTTTGTTGGCTGTCCGTCACTGTATTTATGTTAATGAGTAGTTTGATTAAGACTAAAATCACTGTTAATATAAGGCGTACTTGCAGTTATTGAGCTGAACAAGCCTTTTAACCCCAAGTATGATGTGCCTACCATCCTTGATATGCATATGAATAATTAATTGTGTGGTTTGTTGATGAGGTGTGCCAGTACTTTATTTATTTATTTATTTTTTTTTAAAGGTATTTGACTATTTAGTATTCACTTGATGGGTGATAAAACAGGCAAAAAAAAGTCTCCAACTCACATTGAAGGATGTAACCAATTAATACCTAGAATATCCTGAGTAGCATAGACACTCTATTGACTTGGCTTGTGACCAGAACATTGTCTTAAGAATTTTTGCACCATTTTCTCCAGAAAATATAGAAAACATAATACTTTCTAGTTGAGAAAGTATTAAATATTAATATTTTTACTTGCAGTAAGCAATGCTACATGCAATTATTTAAATGTCATTCAAAGTTAATTTCTGAAGCTTGAGCACTCGGCCAAATAAGTTTATTTTTTTCCTATGTGAAGGTGGAGAGCTTCATTTCCTTCAAATTGGAGGTGTGTGTGATGATATCGATGACGCCGACATTTTTGTCGACGGCCCCCTGTCTAATAGGGCAGAGCAACTACTGGACGGAGCAAAGCCCACATCAAATCCTTCAAGCCCAGGTATCACAGGTGAGTGACACATGAAAGCACATTAAACTTAGTGTGTTTTGTGTCTGTCCGACATAAAGCAGGGGATCAGATAGTTTATTTAATTTGCATTCAGCTACCTCACATCAAAGCCTTAAGAAATCAGTTGGTGCTGCTGAATTGGATTTTGTGTATTTAAAACAGCTGATGTGAGCTTTCTGGGAAATTTTCCTCTCTGTGTTCTTCTTTGTTCATTGTGTCATCTGATGTTGCATTTTCTCTCTGTGTACATCTCACTAGCAGTAAAATGGTGGTTTGTGTGGAAGTGTTCAGTATAGTAAGCTGTGTCTCTTTTGGCAGGAGTTGACCTCCTAGTGGACCAGCCATTGACCGTAGAGAGACTTTCATCTCTGGTGGAACTAACACGTTTTGAAACGCTGACGCCACGCTTCTCGGCAACAGTGCCCCCTTGCTGGGTGGAGGTGCAGCAAGAACAGCAGCAAAGGCGGCATCCGCAACACCTTCACCAGCAGCACCACGGCGATGCTGCGCAACACACACGCACCTGGAAACTACAGAGTGACAGGTGTGCATTCACAAACAGCCTACACTCTCCCTCATACAGCATACACCCAAGTACAAGATACAAGATTCCCTTGATCTTTTGGCATATTAGAGGTCATTGTACTATAAAACATCCTGTAAGTTTCAGAACTCAAAACTTTCTCGTTAGTCTAAAAACAGCTTATATTGAAGCCAATCTGCCAAAACGACAGGTTGTGGAATGTGCCACTTTATGACGTAATAGTGTGGCTAACTAAACACCACCACTGTAGAAGATCAACGCCTGCTTCTACAGCACTGCCTGTTTAGCCCCGCCCACAGTTTCACGCATGTAGTGTAAGTAACGAGAGAGGCAAACGCAGGTCTACGCAAAAATCAAAAGATAAAGATGGATCCGAAGACAACAAGATGCTGTTCATTGCCATGTTATGGAAAACACAGCCTTCCTTCTGATCCCAACATTAGGAAAGAATGGATGAATTTTATTTTTAATGAAGTTCCAGACCATGTTAGTAAGAACTTGGTCCTTTGTTCACTTCATTTTACCGTGGATTCGTTTACAAACAAGGCTCTATTCGACGCAGGATTTTCAGAAAGACTGAAACTAAAAGACGTTTTTTGGTCACTATTGCTTTGTCTGTTATTACAGATCGTTTGATATGTACTGAGTATTTATGCTTTTTTTAACCTAAATCATAGCAGCGCCCATCCATGAAGGATGTAGGCTGTCAAACATACACAACTATTAGCCAATCATAGCAGTGGGTGTTTACTTCTGAGTCTAGAATCCGCCACACCTATTCAAACCGAGCGTTCCAATGAGGGGGGTCAAAACAGGACAGAAAATAGCCTATTACTTCTAAATGATTGTTTTTTTATGTAAAAATCTTGATTACATTATTAGTAGACTGCAGAGAACAGTACAAAATAATAAAAAAGGCAGTTCATGACCCCTTTAAAATCACACATGCGTACATATACTTATTTATATAGCAGTTGTTTCTGGTCCTCAAATCTGATTGGCTGAGAGGTAGTGCTGGGCGGTATACCGGTTCATACCGAATACCGGTGTTTATTTTTGTTATGATATGAATTTTGAAAATACCGCAATACCGGTATATGTCACTTAAACAACGTTCGGAACGTGACACTGTTTGAAAGGGGTCACTTTTCACTGGTGCATTGTGGTGAGGGAACAGCTGTATGTTACTAAGCGTGAAAGTTCCGAAACTGAAGCTGTAGAACTAATAGAACGTGATGACACAGAAGAACTCATCCACAATATCCACATTGACCGCCACAAATATCCACCGCCCCCTGCCATCAGCTCCTGCGTCTCACACACACGAGCACGACTTTAGCACTAGATTTAGCAACTTTCAGACCCTTTTAGCGGATTTTTTCCATAGAATGTTCATACTGACAAATCTAGCGACTTTTTTGGATAAACCTTAGCTATGGTTCAGTTGGAAGATTTCGCCAGTGCTGTCCCGCGAACGCGAGGTCTGACTTTCCCGGAGAAGTGTCAGCCCTCTCGGCGTCTGTTCTGTGCAGTGAGCGGCAGAGAAGCAGCGCAGCCGACTCGTCAATAAATGAGTACAAAACAGCGTTTCCTAGCACCTGTCGCTTACTGATTGTTTGGAATTATAAATATAAGCGTAGTTCGTCTGTTAATATCACATGCACTTTTTTGTTTGTTGTTTTTTTTAGTTTGTTACTGAGATGCAGGCAGTGCGCTGCATGAGACAAAAAAGTAATATAGCCAAAACAACTGCATAGCCGCTCTCCGATTATAAATGAGAGTGACTCCTAGTTAACGTATTAAAAGGGGTCGTGTTTAGTCACTATTTAGTGTGGTATTTTTTGACAATATTCACTCATCATGACAGTAAAATAGGGCATTCTAAGTCAATATACTGCAGTATTTCCTCTCTCAATCAGTAGAAAATATGGTTAACACCCGGTCATGCATGAAAAAAAAAAATACCGTCATGTACTGTGAAACGGGTATCATTTTGAAAAATACCGTGATATAAATTTTTGGTCATACCACCCAGCACTACTGAGAGGTTTTTCCAGCTATGTGTTGTTTTTCTAGTATCACACACACAAATAGATCAAATATAAATATTTAATTAAATTTTTTTTAATGTTTCCGTAGACATTTCCCCCCTTTTTTGCATGTAATGTGTAATATCTCTCTCTCAGCTCCAGCTGGGACGAGCACGTGTTCGAGCTGGTCTTGCCCAAAGCCTGCATGGTTGGACATGTGGACTTCAAGTTTGTGCTAAACAGCAGTATTACTAACATCCCACAAATCCAGGTCACACTGCTGAAGAACAAAGCACCAGGCCTGGGCAAAGTGAATGGTGAGTCACTCTTAAGCAGAAAAAGATACCTTAGATTCCGTTGGCTAGTTTGGTCCGATTTTATTCCCCAAATTAATCTTTTGTTGTGTTACACTTTGTACTGCAGAGACAGCAGTGGACAGGCAGATTGTTTTCCCCTTGTCTCATGTCCTGCACTCAAATGGAGAGAAGAATGGACAATCTCACCTGCACGATTTCTCAGAGGACATCCAGTTCATGGACATCGAGGAGGCGCCAGGTAAGAGTCCTGATGATTAAGCCATCTTGACCACCTGAAAACGTTCACCTGTTATGCTAACATCTGTCAGCATTTTTTAATAATACGTCTCTATCTGTCTCAGGCTCCAGGCTGTGTCCGTTCCTGCAGGAGCACAAAGATGATATCTTGTGTGGGCCGGTGTGGTTGTCCAGTGGACTGGATCTGTCTGGACACGCAGGGATGCTGAGTCTTACAAGTCCCAAACTCCTCAAAGGTTTGCCCGAACAGTGTGCCAGTAGACTAACAGTGAAAAAACACAGCTATGAACAAGTGCAGAGCTGCATACAGTATTTAACTGGCATGAATATGCAGCATAAAAAATAATGATTGTACCTTTAAATAAAGTAATTTAGGTGTTAGTAAATTAGATGTAATTATGCACATTAAAACTGATGTCATAGTCCTGAATTCTGTTGTAAATCTCTCTTATGTTTAGAACAAATGAAATCGTCATTTTCTTTTTCATTCCCCTTTCTAGGCATGGCAGGGGGAAAATATCGTTCGTTCTTGGTGCATATTAAAGCAGTGAATGATAAAGGTCTGGATGAGAGCTTGAGGCCGGTGGTGCGGATGACTTCAGCCAAACCTCACAGTAGTAAAGCTCACTCGCTCTCATCCCTGCTGCAGAGGGCTCAGGCCACAAAGGTACAGTACAAACACTGACTTGAACTGTAATTGACTTTTGTGCTTTTTTTTAAACTAAAGCGTGTAATCCTTGGTGTTTGTTCAATTAGTTTCAAAACACTAATTTCTGCAAACACTGATGTCATAGCTTTGAGTGCTGGTTTGTGGGTGAGATTCAGTTGTCTAACTACTATACAGACCTCTGGTGGCTGTGTAGCTGCATTGCTTCATAAAAGATATAACTCTTCACTAGGGATGTAACGGTATGAAAATTTCTTATCACTATTATAGTGACCAAAATTATCATGGTTATCAGTATTATCATGGTATTGTTAAAATGTGCTGGAGATGTTCAAAAAGTACCAACACATAAATCACTAAACCAAGTTTTATATTTAAAAATCAACAAACAACAAATAAAATGACTTTGTTTGCATAATCACTAAAACAATAACATTACCAATGATGTTCGTATTTTAAAGGACAACTTGACTGACAACAGTTTAATAGCATGTTGAAATATCTAATGTAAATGTTCAAATAAAGCTTTGAAAAGGTAAACCTCACATTTCAGCCTTTAAATAAAGAAAAGAGTTAAGTCAAAATGATAATTGATTAATACATGATTATATGTATTTTATCTGATCCATAAATAATTCTAGATAACTTAACTGAATTGTTTAAATGTGTAGAATCCACATAAGGAGCGCATAATTGTAGCGCGAAGGCACATTAATATAATGCGCGAAATGCGCGAGCTCCGCTCGCGCGCGGATTTCTTTTGCTCTCGCACAAAACCGGACACGCGCGCTCAGATAGCTCAGATACTCGCCCGGAGAGAGTGCGCGCACTTAAAACGTGTCTCCTCTCACTCAAACTGTGTCCTGTGCAATCTC